GCTGTCAGACTGTACAATAAGAACTGCTGAGCCTGTAAATTTCATTCATCTGTAACTAAGTAAATTCTTAAATCATGTGCAATTTGCAACTTCAGAATGTCACAGAACAATGTCACTTTACTTATATACTTTTTATCCTGCACTATTTAACTGTACAGTATATAACTGCACTACTACATATATATTTTTTGACTGGTATTGAAGCTTTGTCAGCATCTACAGCTAGTTATGTTAGTTAAGAAACATAGCTACTACTTATTTGTATATATTGCGTGTGCTCCCTGTGTGCTCTTACTACTGTCCTATATGTGCGATGCAACATTGAAATTTCCCCACTGTGGGACGAATAAAGGAATTCGTATCTTATCTTATCTTAATGTCACGTCACCAGCACAAATCTGCGCCACTTTTTCTTCAAAAGAACGTATATCCCAATGCACTGTATAGATATGGATAGCATTTAACAAATGAATACAAAAATAAAGTCAGTTAGTGCAGCTTTAAGAGCAAGTGAGGGTGTTGCCTTGTATCTGTATCATAGATCTGTATATGTGTGTAGCTCTTACACTGAAGGGTCAAACCGGAAGTGCATTGTGTTTTACTGCATAAATCACGTGGTGCGCTTGATGCGTGTGTTTGAGTCAAAGAGACTGAAGAGTTGTGTTTGTTTTCCTCCGTGAGTGGTTCGTGTTGCACGGTTATCCTGCTCTTACAATGCTGCGACCAACAAGCTGAAGGAGCTAACAGGGGAGAGCTAACAGGAGAGAGCTAACAGGAGAGGGCTGAGAGCTAATAAAGCTAAAAAGAGACGGCATTATCACCACAGGCTAACAGGAGCTAACAGGAGCTAACAGGCGCTAACAGGAGCTAACGGGAGCTAACAGGAGCTAACAGGAGCTAACAGGAGCTAACAGGAGCTAACCCAGTGGAACATGGCAGAAGTGAAACTGGAGGAAGACTCTGAGCTCAGAGACATAAAGGAGGAACCACAGGACCCTGAGTAAGACACACGCACACACACAAAAATCTGGTAATTTCCTTTGGCGCTTGAGGCAATATCAAATTAACATTAGTAAGTAATGTTTATTTATATAGAGCCTTTAACAGACCAGAGTCACAAAGCAGTTTACAATTGTTATTTTTGGGCATTTGTGTCTCACTCCACACAGAGATTAGGATTAGAGCTGGCACAACAAGCAGACATCATAGAGTCACAACAAACAGACATCATAGAGTCAGAACAAGCAGACATCATAGAGTCACAACAAACAGACATCATAGAGTCAGAACAAGCAGACATCATAGAGTCAGAACAAGCAGACATCATAGAGTCAGAACAAGCAGCCATCATAGAGTCAGAACAAGCAGCCATCATAGAGTCAGAACAAGCAGCCATCATAGAGTCAGAACAAGCAGACATCATAGAGTCAGAACAAGCAGCCATCATAGAGTCAGAACAAGCAGCCATCATAGAGTCACAACAAGCAGACATCATAGAGTCACAACAAGCTGACATCATAGAGTCACAACAAGCTGACATCATAGAGTCACAACAAGCAGCCATCATAGAGTCACAACAAGCAGACATCATAGAGTCAGAACAAGCAGCCATCATAGAGTCACAACAAGCAGACATCATAGAGTCACAACAAGCAGACATCATAGAGTCAGAACAAGCAGCCATCATAGAGTCACAACAAGCAGACATCATAGAGTCACAACAAGCTGACATCAGAGTCACAACAAGCAGACAGCATAGAGTCAGAACAAGCAGACATCATAGAGTCAGAACAAGCAGACATCATAGAGTCAGAACAAGCAGACATCATAGAGTCAGAACAAGCAGCCATCATAGAGTCAGAACAAGCAGCCATCATAGAGTCAGAACAAGCAGCCATCATAGAGTCAGAACAAGCAGACATCATAGAGTCAGAACAAGCAGACATCATAGAGTCAGAACAAGCAGACATCATAGAGTCAGAACAAGCAGACATCATAGAGTCAGAACAAGCAGACATCATAGAGTCAGAACAAGCAGACATCATAGAGTCACAACAAGCAGACATCATAGAGTCACAACAAGCAGACATCATAGAGTCACAACAAGCAGACATCATAGAGTCACAACAAGCAGACATCATAGAGTCACAACAAGCAGACATCATAGAGTCAGAACAAGCAGACATCAGAGAGTCAGAACAAGCAGACATCAGAGAGTCACAACAAGCAGACATCAGAGAGTCACAACAAGCAGACATCAGAGAGTCACAACAAGCAGACATCATAGAGTCACAACAAGCAGACATCATAGAGTCACAACAAGCAGACATCATAGAGTCACAACAAGCAGACGTCATAGTTTATTAAACTTCATAGAAGTTTAAGGCAGAAATAACAAAAGACGAAGCATGAGATAATTGCTCCCACTGTTCACAGCCAACAACGTCAGTTCTGGACCTGTGATTTCTGTTTAGGTCTAATCGAGTAAGAAACGACTAAAGGCAAGTTTGTTTGTATAGCACAATTCATACACAAGGAAACTCAAAGTGCTGAACAAAATAAAATCATAAATAATCACAGTACATTAAAAAGATATATTAGTGACATGTTAGTTAAAATATAAAATCCCTCAGTTGTATGCACAGATAAACGGAACTGTTTTTAACCTGGTTTTAAACATTGTCAGAGAGGAGGCCTGTCTCACACTTTCAGGAAGATTGTTCCAGATTTTAGCAGCATGAATCTGAAAAGCAGCCTCCCCATGTTTAGTTCTGACTCTGGGCACTAACAGGAGTCCAGTCCCTGTGCTCCTCAGAGTCCGGACTGGTTCATATGGGACTAACATGTCACTAATATATTTTGGTGCGAGGCCATGGAGAGACTTGTAACAAGCAGAGCTGTTTTAAAGTCTATTCTCTGAGCCACAGGAAGCCAGTGCAGAGACCTGAGGACTGGACTAATGTGGTCGTACTTCCTGGTTCTAGTCAGGACTAATGTGGTCGTACTTCCTGGTTCTAGTCAGGACTAATGTGGTCGTACTTCCTGGTTCTAGTCAGGACTAATGTGGTCGTACTTCCTGGTTCTAGTCAGGACTAATGTGGTCGTACTTCCTGGTTCTAGTCAGGACTGATGTGGTCGTACTTCCTGGTTCTAGTCAGGACTAATGTGGTCGTACTTCCTGGTTCTAGTCAGGACTCGAGCTGCTGCATTTTGAATGTACTGCAGCTGTTTTACAGCCTGTTTGGACAGACCTGTGAGCAGGCCATTGCAGTAGTCTAACCTACTTGAGACAAATGCATGGATAAGAATCTCCAAGTCTGCTTTAGACATAGGGGTGGGCGATTTGGCCTAAAAATCATATTGCGGTATAATTTGGGACACAGACGGTAGAAGGTATGTATTGCGGTTTTTGAATTTCAATAGGTCTTGCAGGTTCTTACATAAAATAGTCAAGAATGTTACTTATTTATATATTAAAATTAGGGCTGGGACTCAATAAAAAAAAAAAATCTAATTAATTAGAGGCTTTGTAATGAATTAATATTGATTAATCGCATTTTAATCGTATATAAATATTTGCCCTGAGAACAGTGAGAAGTAATTTTTTTTCACATGGATTTTTAGTTTACCATTGAAAAATGACTGAATACATAAGCTTAAACAACACATTCATTGTGGATGATCAGACGGACTTCTTTCCCATCCAATAACGTATCTGTCATTGCCTCCACAGACTCTGACAACAGACGCTTATTATAACCATAATCCACTGCACTAACAGTGAGCACTAAAGCTTATAATATGTTTTTGATGTATGCATTCGAACTAAAACATCAGCAATAACAGCTCACACACCTCTGTCGCTGCTCCTCCTTCTCTGAGGAGTCGCTTGCTGCTCCTCCTCACACACCATAGCTCCATACACAGCGCTCTTTCCCTTCTCTAACCATGGATCTACAGTGCCTTGCGAAAGTATTGAACCTTTCAACATTTTGCCACATTTCAGGCTTCGAACATAAAGATATAAAATTTAAATTTTTTGTCATGAATCAACGACAAGTGGGACACAATCGTGAAGTGGAACGAAATTTGACAATTTCAACTTTTTTAACAAATAAAAAACTGAAAAGTGGGGCGTGCAATATTATTCGGCCCCTTTACTTTCAGTGCAGCAAACTCACTCCAGAAGTTCAGTCAGGATCTTTGAATGATCCAATGTTGTCCTAAATGACTGATGATGATGATAAATAGAATGCCAACCTGTGTGTAATCATGTCTCCGTATAAATGCACCTGCTCTTTGATAGTCTCAGGGTTCTGTTTAAGGGGAGCTCGGCTCCCCTGAAAAGGACCTGGGCTCCCCTGAAAGCCTACTTTGAGACTTTTAGGGGGAGCTCTAAAACACTGTCCATTTTTTGTGTCGCATATAGATTTTGATTTTCTGTACATTAAGGTTCCTGAAATAAATTCTGATATAAAAAATGTGTCAATGCTGTGTGTTTATTCGCTCATTACATTACTATTTCGGAACATTTCAGTTTTTTACGTCAACACTTGAACTTCTCACTGAGTTGGTATTTGAATGTTAGCTTAACTTCAACATACTTTCTTCGTTTTTTGGAATTAGTAAGAATGTCAAAAAGAAAGCAGCCAAACCTCGGTCAATTTGGATTTACAAAACAAACAAAGAGGAGTGATGACAGCGCACCAGCAACAACTATCTTGCCGGTGTTACCGCCGCCGCCGCTTGCTGCTGCTAGTGACAGCACCGCCACCGAGGATAGCGAGACTTGGGCACCAGAAACCACCGCTGTGACCTGCAGCGGACCTGGCGGTCATGCACCACCTTTCAACTGGACAACAAAGCAATGGAGTGAGTGGAGAACCAGGAATACATGGCTCTACTCCAAAAATCAGAAGTTAGGATGTACAGTATGGATGGAGGCAAAAAACCTGTTGCTCGCCGAAAGAGCAACAGGAGTACATCTGTCAGAGGAATGGATGAATGGAGAGGTCAGCAGCGAGTCACAGAATAACCTGCGGAAAAAGATTTACAAGCATCGAGACAGTTTGGCACACAAAAGAGCGGTTGAGATTTCGGAGATGAGGGAAAAGGATGTGCTCCCAAACAAGGTGCTTGAAGTAAATGCTCATTTAATGCAAGAAACAGCTACGTCTTTCAGATCTGCTTATATGGTGGCCAAGGAAAAAATGGCCTACAGAAAGCTCCCTGCTGTAATGTCCCTTCAAAAACTTAATGGTGCAAACGTGGGAAATGTGCACAAATCGGACCATGCTTGTGCTGAAATAATCGGACATATCGCCAGTGAAATGAGAGCTAAATTTGTTTCAAAAGTAAAAGAACTGGGATCACGAATCAGTATCACATTAGATGAGAGCACAGTTCATGGCCTGTCTTATATGATAATTTATGTGCGGTGTGACATGACAGGAACAGGGGAGGTGGACAATGTTTTTTTAGATATCGTTGAGCTTTCAGAAGGCACGGATGCCTAATCGATATACAAAAGTTTGAGGGAAAGCTTGAGACAAGCGGGACTGGATGATGAGTTTCTGGGAAAAAATCTCATCTGCATTGCAACAGATGGAGCAGCGGTACTGATGGGCAGAGTTGGCGGACTCGTCACTAAACTCAAACAAGATTTCCCCAAAGTTCAGTCTATACACTGTCTAGCTCACCGACTTGAGTTAGCTGTCAAAGACTCACTTAAGGAAGTAGCTGGATGTAACCAATTTGAGTTTTTTATTTCAAAACTTTATGCGCTCTATAACCAGTCATCAAAAAACGCCCGTTTGCTCCAGGAGGCAGCTAAAGGTTTGAACATGCAAATCCTAAAAATAGGTCAAATCTTTACAATTCGTTGGGTGGCTAGTAGTTTTCGCACTGTGAAGGCAGTATGGAACGATTATCCGGCACTGGCGCACCAATTCAGAACAGCCATGGAAGACACATCTCGCTGCGACACAGAGAGGCAGAAATTCAGGGGCCTGCACAAACTCCTTTCAAGCACAGGTTTTGTGGCTGATTTGGCATGTATGAAGGATGTCCTGCGAGAATTACAAAATTTGTCGCTAAAACTGCAACGCAAACAAACATCTTTAGTTGATGCAAGTTGCCACATTCAGCAGACCATTGAGGTATTGACAGCCATGAAAGCAAGCGGAGGAAAATCCACACAAAAAGCCGAACAGCGCATATCGACAGGCCTGTTCAAAGATGTTGAGCTTTCAGAGAGCAGGCCGAAGATAAACCGTCTTCAGTTCAACCAGTCTATTATCAACAGCCTAAAGAAGAGACTGCCCGAACCGGACCTTGTCCAGATGCTGAAACCGCTGGATAAACGCTTTTGGCCACAGCAACATAGCGCCCGTATCCTATATGGGGAAACTGAAGTTCGAGCATTGGCAAAAATACTGGGGAGAACCGGCCCGAGAGGCTGTCGAGGAGTTCCGGGACTTTAAATTGCAAAACAGAGCACCAGGGAAAACGCTTGTCAAACTTCAAACAGCAAGTCTGACCTACTTGCCCTCCTCAGCTGAGTGTGAGAGGGGATTTTCTGCAGTGAATTCTACTGACAGCAAGTATCGCAACAAGTTGCGTGAACAAAGCCTCTCCTCGCTTCTCTTCGTGGACCTGAATGGACCCCCTTTGGAGCAATTTGACCCTCTGCCTTTTGTATCATCTTGGATTAAAGCCGGTCACCGACCCTCAACAACGTTACAGGACGGAAAGCAAAGACAGAAGAACCTAGGCCTCTGTGGTCACTTCTGATTTAAGGTAAGAGCTATGGAATTAGCCTACTTGATCTGTGTGTTTGTGAGGATTGGCCCTAATCCTATATATTATTGAGTATTTTTTTATGATTGTTATGTGAGTTATTCTGTTTTTATCATGATTTGCATGATGTTGGCCTAAGCGTGGTTGATTCAGAACCGTGGACAGAGCTGTTTGCCCTCACACTGACAACTAACAGCGTCTGATGCTTGCGTTTTGAAGTAAACGGTTTACTAAGTAAACAATAGGTTTACTGTAAAACTATTGTTTTAAAATGCCCGAACACGCACCAAAAGCGTTAAAGTTAGTCAGGGAGGATCGGAAAATAGGGCTCCCCCGAAAGCCACTTTGTAATTCGAACCCTGATTACACTCCATGTGTCTTTGGTACTATTTTTATTTTTGTCTAGCAATTTAGTATAGTAATCCTTTTTTTCCCTTCGTATGATTCCAACTAATTTGTTTTTATATTTTTTATACCTATCTTCAGCATCTTTGGTTCTTGATCTTAGAAACAATCTATACAAATAGTTTTTTTTCTTGCAGGCATTTTTCAGTCCATTTGTCATCCATGGATTGTTAACAGTATTTTTCCTGATACAAGTGTTTTTTTTGGTTATTTTACAATTTTTATCATATAAACCAATTAGTGTCGACATAAAAGCTTCGTATGCAGAATTAACATTATCTGTGTATACTCTATCCCAGCTCTGTTTCTTCAGATCTTCTCTAAAGGCCTCTAAAGCCTTACTAGATTTATCGCGAATGAATGTTGTAGTTTCATCTTGTATAATATCATAACCTGTTTTCTCATAAATCATAAATATCGGGAGATGATCACTCACGTCTGTCATAAGGATACCACTAATTAATTTACCACGTACATTTGTAAATATATTGTCAATGATGGTTGCACTATGTGTAGTCACCCTTGTTGGTTTGGTTATCATTGGGTATAGGTCTGTGCTCTTCATGTAATTCCTAAATTCACTTGATGCTATAGGGTTTCCCAAATCTATATTGAAGTCACCACACAACATTAATGATTTGTTATTAATTTGTTCAAACATCTCAAGGATTTTATCTGTAAATGATTCAACACAAGACCCTGGTGCTCTATACACACAACTGATCAACATATTTTTACCAATCTCATTTGTTATTTCTACAGTAAGCATTTCCATCAGATTTTTCACAGTAATTGTTTTTTGTTCAATCATTTTACATTTTAGATGAGAATCAATGTAGAGGGCCACACCCCCTCCCTTTTTACTTACTCTGTTGACATAAAACATGTTGTATCCTTCAATCTGAACATCATTGATATCAGAGTCCTTCAACCAGCTTTCAGTTATAGCAATCACTTTAAAGGTTTTATCTAACTGACAGAGTAGCTCTTTTATTTTTACAAAGTTACACTTTAAACTTCGACTATTAAAGTGTATGATAGATAATGTTTCATTAAGCACCTTACTGATTTCAACATTATATTGTTGTACAGTATAGTAATCGCAAACATTTTCCTCTGGGGTTAGCATGTCATGTTCAATATAATTTTCCAGATCATAAATTTTATGATTATTAGTATCTGTATGTGTGTCCATAGTTCAGTGTATGTCCAAGTGTATCCAACCTGGTCTCCGTTATCAGTCCGTCCAAGCACGGGACTCCATCACTCTCACTGTGAATGTCCCGTCTTATACTTCTCAAGTTCCTTCAAAGTCTTGATGACTTTCGCTGAACCATCTTGTTCCCTGATCCACACGTTTCCATTCCATGTCCATGTCCCAGTAATTTTCTTCCATTTCCTAAGGTTAAACCAGACCAAGTGATTAGATCCATGTGTGGTCCATAGAGTCCTGTCGGCGCTGTCATTACAGTTCCCCCCCGCGGCCACTGGCGGCGCTGCTGCCCACGTTAGTCGCGGAAGTCGTTGCCATGGCAGCTGCTGTTTGTAGCAGTTAGCATTCGGAGCTAACAGAAGCTAAAGTCAAGAGTCCCGAAGATTCAAGGAAAAAAAGAGGAAAATGGTGAGAAAACATGGACCAGAACCAGACCCGGACCTGACTACACCAGGACTAAAGCAGGACTAAAGCAGGTCTAAAGCAGGACTTAAGCAGGACTAATGCAGGTCTGAAGCAGGACTAAAGCAGGTCTGAAGCAGGACTAAAGCAGGTCTGAAGCAGGACTAAAGCAGGTCTGAAGCAGGACTAAAGCAGGTCTGAAGCAGGACTAAAGCAGGTCTAAAGCAGGACTAAAGCAGGTCTAAAGCAGGACTAAAGCAGGTCTAAAGCAGGACTAAAGCAGGTCTAAAGCAGGACTAAAGCAGGTCTAAAGCAGGACTAAAGCAGGTCTAAAGCAGGACTAAAGCAGGTCTGAAGCAGGACTAAAGCAGGTCTAAAGCAGGACTAAAGCAGGTCTAAAGCAGGACTAAAGCAGGTCTAAAGCAGGACTAAAGCAGGTCTAAAGCAGGACTAAAGCAGGTCTAAAGCAGGACTAAAGCAGGTCTAAAGCAGGACTAAAGCAGGTCTAAAGCAGGACTAAAGCAGGACTAAAGCAGGTCTAAAGCAGGACTAAAGCAGGACTAAAGCAGGTCTGAAGCAGGACTAAAGCAGGACTAAAGCAGGACTAAAGCAGGACTAAAGCAGGACTAAAGCAGGTCTGAAGCAGGACTAAAGCAGGACTAAAGCAGGACTAAAGCAGGTCTAAAGCAGGACTAAAGCAGGACTAAAGCAGGACTAAAGCAGGACTAAAGCAGGTCTAAAGCAGGACTAAAGCAGGACTAAAGCAGGTCTAAAGCAGGTCTAAAACAGGACTAAAGCAGGTCTAAAACAGGTCTAAAGCAGGACTAAAGCAGGTCTGAAGCAGGTCTAAAGCAGGACTAAAGCAGGTCTAAAGCAGGACTAAAGCAGGACTAAAGCAGGACTAAAGCAGGTCTAAAGCAGGTCTAAAACAGGACTAAAGCAGGTCTAAAACAGGTCAAAAGCAGGACTAAAGCAGGTCTGAAGCAGGACTAAAGCAGGACTAAAGCAGGTCTGAAGCAGGACTAAAGCAGGTCTAAAGCAGGTCTAAAGCAGGTAAAGCAGGTCTAAAGCAGGTCTAAAGCAGGCTAGAGCAGGTCTAGAGCAGGTCTATAGCAGGTCTATAGCAGGACAAAAGGGGGACAAAAGCGGGACAAAGGCGGGACAAAGGCGGGACTAAGGCAGGACTAAAGCAGGACTAGAGCAGGACTAGAGCAGGTCTGAAGCAGGTCTAAGCAGGTAAGTAAGTAAGTAAGTAAGTAATCTTTATTTATATACCGCCTAAAGACCTAAAGCAGGTCTGAAGCAGGACTAAAGCAGGTCTAAAGCAGGACTAAAGCAGGTCTAAAGCAGGACTAAAGCAGGTCTAAAGCAGGACTAAAGCAGGTCTAAAGCAGGTCTAAAGCAGGTCTGAAGCAGGACTAAAGCAGGACTAAAGCAGGTCTGAAGCAGGACTAAAGCAGGACTAAAGCAGGACTGAAGCAGGACTGAAGCAGGACTAAAGCAGGTCTAAAGCAGGACAAAAGCGGGACAAAAGCGGGACAAAGGCGGGACTAAGGCGGGACTAAGGCAGGACTAAGGCAGGACTAGGGCAGGACTAGGGCAGGTCTAAAGCAGGACTAAGGCAGGACTAAAGCAGGACTAGAGCAGGACTAGAGCAGGACTAGAGCAGGTCTAGAGCAGGTCTAGAGCAGGTCTAGAGCAGGTCTAAAGCAGGTCTAAAGCAGGTCTAAAGCAGGTCTAAAGCAGGTCTAGAGCAGGACTAGAGCAGGACTAGAGCAGGTCTATAGCAGGTGTAAAACAGGACTAAAGCGGGTCTCTTGTTGCTAGGCGCCCAGGGGAAGCGTGCAAAGACAAAGGCTCCGACGGTTGTTGATGCTCTGTCCACGGAGGAGATGAAAAAGACCAGGATAGACACATTCACACACAGACACCTGGTCCAGACTCGGTGCAGACCAGGTCCAGACCCGGCCCAGACCTGGTTCTGTGGTCCACAGTTGGAGGAGCACATCGTCCGCCTCAGGGAGGAGTTGGATCGTGAGCGGGAGGAGAAAAGTTTCTTCCAGTTGGAGCGAGACCGGATCCAGAGTCTGTGGGAGACCAGCCTCCGAGACCTAGACCAGGTCGAGACCGAGCTGAACCAGTCCAGGAGAGAGAGGGAGGAGGCGATCTCCATGCCACCGCATGGAGATCAATGTAACTGCAACACACACAGAGGCAGAGAGAGACAGAGAGACACAGAGACACAGAGACAGAGAGACAGAGACAGAGAGACAGAGAGACAGAGACACAGAGACAGAGAGACAGAGGCACAGAGACAGAGGCACAGACAGAGACACAGAGACAGACAGAGAGACAGAGGCACAGACAGAGACACAGAGACAGACAGAGAGACACAGAGACAGAGACAGAGAGACAGAGAGCACAGACAGAGAGACACAGAGACAGAGAGACAGACAGAGAGCAGAGACACAGAGACAGAGAGACAGAGAGCACAGAGACAGAGACACAGAGACAGACAGAGAGACAGACAGAGAGACACAGAGAGACAGAGACAGAGAGAGACAGACACAGAAACACAGAGAGACACAGACACACAGAGAGACAGACACAGAGAGACACAGAGAGACACAGAGACACAGAGAGACAGAGACACACAGAGAGACAGACACAGAGACACACAGAGACACAGAGAGACAGAGACACACAGAGAGACAGACACAGAGACACACAGAGAGACAGAGACACACAGAGAGACAGACACAGAGACACAGCACAGAGAGAGACACACACAGACACAGAGACACACACAGACACAGAGAGACACACACAGACACAGAGAGACACACACAGACACACAGAGACACACACAGACACAGAGAGACACAGAGACAGAGAGACACACACACAGAGACACACAGAGACACACACAGACACAGAGAGACACACACAGACACACACAGACACAGAGAGACACACACAGACACAGAGAGACACACACAGACACACACAGACACAGAGAGACACACACAGACACAGAGAGACACACACAGACACACACAGAGAGACACACACAGACACGCACTCCTCTCTCTCTCTCACTTCTCTCTCTCCTCTCCCTCCCCCCTATCTCTCTCTGATTTCTTTCCCTCCCTCCCTCCCACCCTCACTCTCTCTCTCTCTCCCTCTCTCCCTCTCTGTCTCCTCACTTGTCTCCTCCTCCTATCTCCTCTTGGGTCCTCCTCACTTGTCCTCCTCTTGTGTCCTCCTCACTTGTCTCCTCCTCCTGTCTCCTCCTCAGACATGGAGCAGATGTTTCGGAGCCTCTCCCTGTCCCTCACTCAGCAGCAGGAGAAGAGGATTCAGCAGGAGGTGCAGCAGGTACAGGAGGAGGCCAGCAGGAGGAGCAGTGAGCTGAAGCAGGAGCAGCAGCGCCTCCTGATGGTCACGGAGCAGCACTACAGCAGCCTGAGGAGGAGACTGGAGCAGGAGCAGAAGGAGCTCACGGTGAGGAGGTCCCCCCCAGCCCTTCTGTTCCAACACTCTCCTTTTAAACACCTCCACTTTAGGACCAGCAGCAGGAGCTCAGGGAGGAGCTCTCCAGAGTCCACAAGAAGCTGACCACCTCCCAGAAGGAGAACCTCCGTCTGAAAGAGAAGCTCGAGGAGGCCCAGATGGAGGTCCCAGAGCTGAGGAGGAGATTGGAGCTCAAAGAGGAGGACAAGAGGAAAGAGAAGGTGAGGGGAGGAGCCTGTTGCATTGGGGGTGGAGTGGGAGGAGCCTGTTGCATTAGGGTGGAGTGGGAGGAGCCTGTTGCATTGGGGTGTAGTGGGAGGAGCCTGTTGCATTAGGGTGGAGTGGGAGGAGCCTGACTCTGCTCTCTTGCAGGTGATTGGTCAGAAGCAGAAGGTTGTGGAGCAGCAGCTCAGAGCTTTGAAGACAGAGAAGACTCTGCTGCAGCAGGCGTTTAGACAGGTGACCTCTGATCTCTGGGGCAGCTCTCTCATTGGCTGACAGGTGTGCTGCTCTCTAATTGGCTGACATGTGTTCTGGTCTGATTGGCTGACGGGTGTGCTGTTCTCTGATTGGCTGACGTGGTTGTGCTGCTCTCTGATTGACTGACGTGTGTGTGCTGCTCTCTGATTGACTGACGTGTGTGTGCTGCTCTCTGATTGGCTGACGTGTGTGTGCTGCTCTCTGATTGGCTGACGTGTGTGTGCTGCTCTCTGATTGACTGACGTGTGTGTGCTGCTCTCTGATTGGCTGACGTGTGTGTGCTGCTCTCTGATTGGCTGACGTGTGTGTGCTGCTCTCTGATTGACTGACGTGTGTGTGCTGCTCTCTGATTGGCTGACGTGTGTGTGCTGCTCTCTGATTGGCTGCAGGTGCAGAGGGAGAGGGACCAGCTGAAGGACTCTCACCTGGAGCTGGAGCTGCAGCTGCAGAGGAGGAACGGCCTGAAGGAGGCGCTACTGACACACAAACTGAGAGAGCTACAGACCAGTCTGAACCGGGTCTGAACCGGGTCTGAAGCAGGTCCAAACCAGGGAGAGAGCCCATGTTAATATTTGACAGTGCAGATCTGATTCTTCTGATGTCTGGAGGTTTTTCCGTTTTTTTTCTTTTGTGACGTTGAATCAAGTTTAATGAAAATAAATTATGTGTAAAGTTTATTAAACTGTTGTTTTCATCATTTGAGGCTGAGTCGCTGTCTCCAAGAACCAAGTTCTCAAGGTCCTCTGGGTCCTCAGGGTCCTCAGGGCCTGGTTAGCAGAGTTAGCTTAGCTCAGGAAAACCTCGTTAGAGTGAGCTCGGGTTAATCTCATGTGGCTAACCTCATTAGCTCAGATTAGCCACAGTAAACTCAGGTTAGCCACATTAGCACAATTAGCTCGGATTAGCCACATTAGCTGTCAGGATATTAGGCACACACATGCTTACAGTAACACAAGTTTGATTCTCTATTTTGATACATTTAGACATATTCTGTGAACAATATTCCCTTTATGGGAAGTTAACAGCTGAGCAGAAATAAAACATCTCCCAAGGACATGGTGTTGCTACTTTGTAGAACAGGGACAATAGATGGTTCTTCGATGACGTCACGCACTACCCACAATTCCGCATTGCGCCATCTTGATAGGCAAGCCCTGCTAGTTGTAGCATACAGTCCATGGTTGTAGCTAAACAAACCATATCACATCCCTTTTATTTGCTCTATAACATGCCGACTACCTGTATCGTTTGGGGGTGCACTAACCGTGCAGGTTGTGGGGACGTAAAGAGGTTTTTTCGACTTTCCGAAGGTAATTACGAGCCAGGGGAGCGAGACAGAGCGACTCTCGAGGGAGAGAAGAACCCTTTGGCTGGCTAGGATCAACCGAGAGGGATTCAACCCTGACCCTTAAAAACGGCACTACAAGGTCTGTTCTGACCATTTCATAACAGGTAAGAGCTAGCTAAACCTGTGCATGTGTGGTTTATATTCAGAGCTGCGATTTGACTGATACCATGTGCGCCTCAAGGAATCCCCTCTAAATGAATGAGAGGAGGAGGAGGAGGAGGAAAGGGTGGTAGACAGAAGCTTGTATGGCCGTGGGTCAGTGATTTACGGACTGTGACATGACTGCTTTGTTCAAAATAAATTAATGATTGAAAGAAATATTGCATTATATACATCATGACCTTTTGTAATTGTGAAACTGTTGGGTAAAAGTAAGTCTGGTGTGTGCCATGTTTGGATTACAAAATAACACCAACAACTTGATCAAGGTTCAGTCATCTGATATCTGTGGTAAAATGTAAACAAACACAGCACATACATACTTATGACAAAATATTGTCTATATAATTCTGTTACAATCCTACAAATGTAAATATTATATACATGACTTTCAAAATGTAATGCTGTCTGAGTCATACCAAATATGAATGAAATATGAACTTATTTAAGATAATTATTTATTTTTATTTGCAGGGAAGAGAGCTGAGTTGTACCACTCGTCAAATCCAGATTGGGCACCTTCATTGAAAATCAGGGAGCCGTCTCTTTTTTGTCAAAAGGATGGGGTGGCCGAGCCAGTGACAAGCATGTGACTGAAAACTGTGGCCTGCTGTCCAAACTGCTGCCTGGAGACATCGTTCTCGCAGACCGAGGCTTCGACATAAAAGAGAGTGTGGGACTGCACTGCGCAGAAGTGAAGATACCATCTTTCACAAGAGGAAAGCAACAGTTATCCCCCCTTGAGATTGAAGCAACAAGAAACATAGCCCACAGCAGAATCCATGTGGAACGCGTCATCGGTCTGGTGCGGAACAAGTACACAATTTTGCAACACACCATTCCTATTGACTACTTACACTGCCCTGCAGGTTGTGTACCAACGTTGGACAAAATTGTCACAGTGTGTTGTGCACTGTCCAATTTGTGTGGCTCGGTTGTGCCATTTGACTGAAAGTTGTTAGAGGAATAAAAGAAAAAAAACCGTGATGAGACCCCATCAATAAAACACATTTATTCTGTTATATTTTGTTTTTCATTTATCTTACACCCTCACATTTGCAGGTTACTTACACATGAGCCCATGCACAGTAAAGTCTAGTGTGGATAAAATAAGTTAACATGAGTAACATTTAATAAATGTACTATATGAAAGTGTCACTTTGTTTCTACTCTTTATATAAAAATTAAACTCTTAATCAAATGTGGATCTGAAAATATGTAACAAACTTCATTCTAGCAGCTCATTCAAAGGATCAGGTCTGTTACATATAGGAAACTTGACTAATGGATAAAACAATTATGTTCTAGCAACCTCTAATGGACAGAGGAGGTATTTGGACACATTCAAAACATGATATATCTTTTGATTAAAATCTAGTTTATACATGGCTCAACTTGTGCTTTTTTGTTGACTTGTGATATTTCCACCAAAAGAGTTATGTCAATGAATATGTTAAGTTTAATATAATATGTTAAGTGCCAATATCAAATAAATCCCCATGAACACAATATTTTTCTGTGAATTGCTTTATTTTGGTGTGTCTTTTTCACAGAATCCTTTAGAACATACCACAATCTGTGGATCAAATTCCATCAACACTTTCGCTTCTTCTGTGGCTTACATTCTTCCCTACAGTCTTTGCACAACCATTTTCCTGAGGGAACTTTCCTTATGCCAATACACTTCAAATGTAACCAAGTGTACGGGCAATTTTCATCGTCACACCCAATAACACGTTCACCTCTGTATGGTTTCCTGCAGATGCAAATGACCTCATAAGATCTGGCCATGTCCGGGTTGCTGATTGGCTGGACAGATGAGTTGATGAGAGGCGATAGAACAGATCTGGAGAAGAGTTTTCCCACCAACTCAGGCAACACAGCTTTGCGGAAAAATTCGGAGGCTCTTCCAACCATGTCCTCACAGAACTCCCCATTAAAAGTTATTCTTTCTGAAAAGAAGTCTGTATTGGTCCAAACCACAAAGTCACAGTATTTGGCTTTCGAGAGCAGTAGTTGACACTGCACCTGGTAGTAGTAGGCGTGCGATGTTTTTAGGTGGAGATGCTCGCCTCTCATTTCTAGGCAGTCCACATTCTCATCAATTTCTGAATCTTTCCTGCAGTAGGGGCATTTCACTTCCAATATAACATCGCCACAGCAATCACATGAGCCAATGCCATCTGGAGTAGCACCAAGAAAGGGGTATTTAGGAGTTATTATCAACCCACTTTCCTTAAGCTGAAAGTTCTCGTGAAGATTCTGCATGCTGTCGATGTAATGCTGCCTGGCCTTTTTTTCATGATCGCACCCCCACTTTGTTGCAGCTGTAGAAAATGATTTTGATGGATAGCATATGTCCTTCACAAGACTTAATGATGGTTTGTCTGGAGCACTCCTACAGACAGACTTCATTTTGGATGCTGTAATCCTCCCAGTACGGAAAGTGAACCACTTTTTACTTTTGGACTGGGCCCTGGTGTCTGCCTCGCAGTTTGTCGCCTCCTCTTCTGTCATAGTAATATTTTCAAATATGCTCTCACAATGACGTAGCAGTGGTTCACTTGGGGTCGTGGCAAAAGTTTCATCGTAAAGCCCGGACAAAGGAGTTGGATACTTCTTGTCTAGTGCTTCAGGACGAAAATATTTCGAATAGCCTGGAACCAATGCCAGGAGCACTGGCTTCTTTTCAGTGACGTGTAGTTCCTTGAATAGAGTGGCAAGTTCAGATTCGGATGGTTCATCAACACTCGGTTGTGTCCTTGGGCTGTTGACAACAGGGGTACCGGTGTTGTTGATAGTCATCTCCAGTTGCTTCTTCATGGTTTTTGCAGAAGTGAAGTTAATCTGCTGAATTGTTTTATACTGGACCTAAAAATAACAAACAAGAAAACAGAAATTAGGACAGTTTACATAGTTTACATGTATTTAGGATTCAAAGTTACCTAAAATAGTCTAGTCAAAGTCATTATTCTTTTAATCCTAACATTTGAATATTATTATATATATCACATACATACATATGTATGTACATATGTGTGTATATATACACACACACACACACACACACACATATATGAATACAAGACTTGAAGTGCATAACATTAAATTTACCTTCTGTAGAGCTGCAGGTAACAACCAGTAGGCCTTTTCCTGGGTCACAGTTCGTCTTTTCCTTGTATCTGTCGCACTGTCCAGAGCAAAAAGGATGGCACCGACGTGGGAACACACCTCTCCAAGACCAGCCATACAGGTACAATGTGCAGACAGAACACACCTCTCCAAGACCAGCCACACAGGTACAATGTGCAGACAGAACACACCTCTCCAAGACCAGCCACACAGGTACCATGTGCAGACAGAACCTCCCCGTCTCGCTCGGTCATTACCCAGGATAGGAGGCAAGGGTCATTCCTCCGTTGCGAGTGTTTTATCCTAGCCATCAAAACACTCTTGTCGTTGATGATAGCATGTCTCACCTCCTGCACCCAACCACACACCAGGTAATTGAACGATTCCATCGTCTTCATTGCCTTCAGTTCCTTCAGGGTGTACGGACTTCGTGTGTGTAGGCAGTAATTCACAATGTCTGCGTATGTTACCGCAGGCCAGGAGTCCATTTCTGGTGAAGTCCACTGGTCTCGCCGCATTTCGTATGGATCCAAATCTCCGATCACTCTCAATTTCTCCAAATATCTTTCCTTAGAAATTACGTCCAGTGTATCACTATACTTCACGCGGTCAGAGTCGGCCGATTTCGTGGCTTTAGAAGACATTGTGAGAATGATCCGTGGCAAATGAACTGTGAGAAATGATCCGTGCTATATAATCTTCTAGACAAACAACATGGCGTTCGCGCAAAGCATTATGGGTAATAAGCACGTGATCGAAAACCATCTATAGCACAGATTAGTAGCCTGGCATCCTCCAACCCAGCTGTGACACACTGTGTGGAATAAATGAATACTAGTGTGGCGTTTTGAGAAACTTGTCAACACAGGATTGAAAAGTACATTA